GTAGTAATATTTTAAACCGTTTGATTTTTGTATTAAAGTTTTTTTAATTGATTGATGATTGATTCAATTTGTTGATTGTTTGATTGTATTAACTTGATTCTTTAGATATTGAAAATTAAATAAATAACATTATGTTAATTTAAGCGTACAGAAAGAAACGTTGCTGTTGTTCCAGCAAAGATCTTATTTTCACCTTAACGAGTGCCTAGTAGGTAATTCGCAGATTACCTAGGTAATTTGAGAAATGGAATAATTTTCGCAGCTTTAACGGATCACCCTAGTTAATCTGCAGATTAGCTAGGTAATGTACACATTAACGGATTTCGAGCTTTAGCGGTAACATTAACACCATATTAATTCTCTATAAAATGTGTTTTTGGTATGCATTTTGGAGTGTCTAGAACAGGGGTGGCCAACACGAGGCCCGCGGGCCGCATGCGGCCTGCCGGGAGTCTTGTTGCGGCCCGCGGATGTAGGTCAAATGAACGTAAATGTTAACTTTATTGTACATATCACGAAAAGTACATTACCTCATGAATTATTCGTATTATGTATTTTTAAATTATAGCTAAGAGAAATTTGAAATATCTCTCACTTTTGGAAAAATTCATAGATTTTTAGCTATTTTAAATATTCCGCTATTTGACACTCAATGTTACTTAGTTTTTTGTCTGACGCTAAGTGTTGAAGTCTCATATTAAATTTTATCAACTTAAGCTATATATGTTCTGTGGTCTTCGGCGTTTTCGGGAGGCTCACAATGCTGTCGGCTCATACTCATAACTACTTTCAGTCCAGCTTGACAAAGTTTCGTGTTATTCTGTTGTTTCGTTATCGTTTTATTATTTATACCAATACATCTGGAGAGATTTTGCAATCGACGTTAAAATACATATTTAACATATTTATAATTATAGTTCATACTACTTTAATTACTTTAGCCTGTCTACCCTATCAGTTCTATAAGTAAGTAAACCCTGAAACGTTGGAGAAATTCCATCATGGTGGTTTGGAAGCGTTCTATGAAACGTATTTGGACAAGGATAAATATCCTGTGTTTTACAAACATGCTCTGTCGATGGTTTCGCTTTGTGGAAACACTTATGCATGTGAACAACTTTTTAGTCGCATCAAGTACATCAAATCACAAGTGAGATCGAATTACTGATGTTCATTTGGAAAAAACAGTTTGCGTGTAGCGACATCATCAGTGGAGATCAATTTTGATCACTTAGTTCTGTAAAACAAAATCAGATGTCAAACTTTTAAATATTTTTAAATTGTCTAATAAATATGTTTTATTCTCGGTTATGTTATATTTATTTTTTGAAGAAAATAAACCTACTTTTTGTGGTTTTTTACATTAAACCAGGCAAGTGTTTGACCACGATCTCACCTACTAAGAAGCGACGATGTGGTTGAAGCTGTAGCACGCTTGCTTGTTTACTTTAATTTAAAAAAAATTAGGTGCGTGGCCCGACAGGAAATATTATTTCTGAAATTTGGCCAGCGTTCTGAAAAGGTTGGCCACCCCTGGTCTAGAACAAATTAATTGGATTTACATTGATTCATATGAAAATAATTGTCTCGGTTTTCGTCAGTTTTGGATTTCGGCAATTGTTTTCGGACGGATTATCGACGAAAATCGAGGTATCACTGTATTTTCTAGGAGTGAAAAACTGAGTTCCGCCACATACCTTTTTCTGTTTCAGCTTGACAAATGTGGTGATATGCTTTTATTGTTCTCTGTAAAGTAGCTAAATTTAAAACGCGCAGATTCGAGGACGACGTGCATATCCATGGTTATAATTTGCAGAAACTTCAAGAAATTTCAGCATTTTCAAAATATCGATTTTGCAGAATAGTTTATATTTTCAAAAAAATCATTAAACATGATTTAATAAAAAATGATTTAATGAAAAAATTAAATCATTAACATTATTTAAAAGTGAGAAACAACCTGTAAGTGCTTTGAACTTTCATCACAGACGAAAAAAACTTTTTGACTTATGAAGAGCTCTGCTTAAGCTCCACTCAATAAATCTCAAATTTGAACAAGAAACTATTTATTATAACATCGAAACAAATGCCGGGCTGCAACTTTTAATCATGCTTTTAATTTATTTAATTTAAAATATCTGCTCTCCACCTCAAATTAGTAGTAGCTTGATCCTATACATCATACTATTTTTAAAAATAGAATCGGTCAGGTCATCTAACTCCTTTTAGGGGAAATTTTGAATTGAAATAACGTGACTTCTGGTACAAACCAGAAGTTCTTATATACAGTACTTACTCGGGGCTTTCTGCCTAAGGTATTCATATTTGATCGCGTATTTCATCTATCGAACCCCGTTCTTGCAAGAAAATCAGACTGACATGCAGACGGACGGACAGAGACAATGGGAATTTATAGGTCTATGATTTTTTTCAAGTTGCAGCCCAAATAATGCATGTCGCGTGATAACGTACAGAACTTAATGATTAGGTGTTCAGAGCTCTCTGTAGAAAAAAGACTTTGGTAATTTTTGTGTATGCTATTCAGTATATGCAGTTTCGATTTTCAGGAAATAATTTTACTTGAAAATTCAGCATTAGGGCAAAATTTGGCGCTGCTGTTTCCTTAAGATTCGTATTTCGTACATTTTCTAAATTTCGGGTATAAAAGTTCTTCAGATATTTTCTGATAATTTTCTCACAATTCTTAAGTTGGTTTATAAGAACAAATTCGTGTGCCTCTAATATCACTACAAAAAGTTCACGTAGACAATGCCTTAAATCCTTCCCTTCCCAGCAAATACAATGATGAACTTTTCGCAATCCAAACCTTCTCTCCCATAAATTGTATACATAATTAATGGCTACTTTGTTTTACGTTGTTTCTTAACTTCCGAAATTTAATTTTAAAATCGTACGTATATGCACATAGGGATAACAGTGCCAAATTTCATCCTCGCAGCTGAATTCTGAAGTAAAATTTTTCCCGAAAAATGAAACCATATTTTACATTTTTTTATTATTAAAATACAAACTGAATATAGATGTATTTTGACCATTTTGCTTGCATTGTATTTTTATTTTATAAGTATTCAAAAAAATTTTGAAATTTTAATAACAGAAATCTTTACGATTCGATAACATACTTTTTGCTATACTCCATTTTAAATCTGAAAGAGTTTTACAAATTTCCATTCAATATACAGTAATAAGTTTAATTTTACAAAAAGTTTAAAAAATTGTATAATTTAAAAAATTTACAGATCAGCTAAATTCAAAACTCTCTTCCCATTTCTATTGCATACTTGTATACGTGAGGACAATTGACAGACATAACCATCCCATAGGCAGTATCTAAATCAGGTAAAAGTGCTTGTTTAGAGCTAAGATAATTCCAAAGATGAATCACGTAACTTTCTCCTATTTTACGAATTACATGATTCCTCAAATCTTTAGTAAAGTATTGTTTCCAGTTGTAGTATGGAATCGGAAAAGCACAACTGGCAGGAAGAACAGCAACGTTGCAATTCATGTCGGTTTCTATGTCTTTCATGTCTAATCCCTTACAAAAAGATCCGAATTGATTAGTAAGGAGCCAAGGTCCTATACAAAGCCAACAATCGCTTCTATACTTCTCCACAAGATTTATCATACACTTAAACAAAAAAGGATGATTGCGTGTAAAACCGAAAACACTATTAGCTAGTACATTATCCCTCTCTTTAATTAAAAAGTTTTTCAAGCCACGATGCCAAAATCCGGATAGGGACATTAACATCACTATATCTAGATCCAAATACATACCACCATATTTCCAAATAACAGCTAGCCTTGAAGCATCACTCAGATGATTTATTTTGTACACGGTGCTGTTCCATTCTCCCATCTTATACCATTCGTACAATGGTGTACCTTCAAATATCTCTTCAAACGAAAATAATTTAACCTGTACATTATCAAACATTCTAGTTAAGTTGTACGAATCTTCAAATTGATTTTGAGTGAACATTATAACAATAATATTGGATTGTAGATTATATCTAGCGGTAGATTCTACAGCACATGCTTGACGGATGGATAAATTTGCAACTCCTGTTGTCTCCAGAAAGAATATATTATGTGATTCGAATTGTGGGTTTGGCATGTTTATCTTGTAACCTGAAGAAATATTATAGAATATTACGAGCAGAAATTTACGTAACAAATCAAAGTTACTTACTTACTTACTTTTACGACTGTAGCATAATTCTTTATTTTCAGCTCTAAATGAATATCTTTTAATGAGATTTTGCCCTATTCTGGAGCAGTAAATGGTAGAAAATATCAATATTATTAAAAATATAATTAAATATATAATTGATTTTTTACGACGAGTTCTTGTTTTCCTCTGAAGATACATATTATAGATATTTACAACAGCAGGGAAATATTTTAACCAAATATAGAATTGTAATTCACTACCAACGAAGATCAATTTGAAAGCGTTAATACAAAAGCCACATGCTTCAACGTTATGCAAATTTCTGATAAACATAGTAATATAAAAAAATCATAAATTTACAAATGTTTAAAAATTATACAAATTTCAGATTTATTAAATTAAAATTAAAATTTAAAGAATGTTTTAAAAACTGTAGAAATATTTTATATAAATTATAACATGCACATATTAGTGCTTTGGTTTGATTTGAATATTATAGGTTTCTTCGTGTAATATAATAAAAAGCTTAATTACAAAATTATAATTAATATTATTGTGTAAATAAAAATAATTAAGAAATCTGTATAAGGAGTACTAGAATTTAGATTTGCATGACTATCAAGACATATTTCTCTTGTCACTGAACACTAGAAGTGTTGAGAGTTGTAGATTATCACCATAAGAGTTGTAGGCTATCATAAGAGTTGCTCCCTTGATCAGTACTCCAGCAGAAGAAGCAGTGTGTGGCTTAAATTGATTTCACTTTACCGGTAATCCAGTCGCTAATGCAAACGAAGCCAACGATGTTGAAGTGTTAATGGCTAGAAAAATAGCAGTCGCCATGCTTGCAAATTTGCCTGTACTAATTGACTGCTTAGCTATTATCGCTGAAAATAAATATTGTTCCGAGTATAGTGACCATGTCTTTATGAATTTTCTCATTACCTGTTAGAAACATCAATTAATTATGACTATAAAAATTAAGAATTATTTGTTATTTTTATAAAGAGAACGCTGACATTTCGCCAAAATTTTCTATGACTTTTAAAGCACCTGCCCTTTAGTAACTAGATCAAAAACTACATCAGTGGAAGAAAACGATTCCACTGCTAAATAAGGCCCATTACATAACTTTTGGAAAATGTATTATTACAGAAAACTTTTCGAATGCTGCTTACTTTAATTTTACATTTCTGCAAGTATACATCTTATAATGTGTTGCAGTACAACTTTCTGACTTTTTCCTTTAATAATGAAAATACAAAACGTCTTAAAACATTAGATAGGCCTAATTTGGCGAATGTACCTCATTTAGAGTATATTTCGATGTAAAATTTTTTTTTGGTCGGATATATTTCAAGTTCATTACAAGTAATGTACATATTCTTTTTTCTTAAATACATTTTATAAGTGTATATTTTTATATTAGAAAATATCTTTACTTAATGCATCACATTTCTCCAGGGAAAATCGGGTATTTCATCTATTATTTTATAAGAGTTAAAATATATAACTATAGGATTATATTATTTTATACCATCTTTGCTTGTCTTGTTCAATATTTCTTTCATGTCTCAAATATTCTAACGACAAGGATTTTATGCTAAAGAAAATAATTTTATTGTTAAAGACTATGCTATTTATTATGAGCAGTGGTATAAATCTGATTACGGTTTTTCTGGAACATACTGTATATGTATAAAAATGTCAGATGTTATTAGATATTAATGGATATACTTTAATGGAACTTCTATATTAAAATTTATATGCTAAAGTGAAGCGTAAGTAATATTACATTACCGTGAACATTTGATTGCAGGAAGAATTCCAAGCATTATTATGAAAATTACAAAGCAAACATATAGTAATAAAATTAACAAAATTCGATGCAGTAATCGAATATTCATTTAAAATTTCTTGATTTATAGTTTCCTAAAAGATTATTGAAATATTTTCTCTTGCATTCACTTTACATAAATTACTCTTATTAAAACAGCTGTCCATTTAATGCATTACATTAATGTCTTAATAGTTTAATTATTAGTTTACTTTAAGCCTCTATTATTAAAATCAAAATGCCAAGGATCTTCTTTTAAGCATCTTCCTTTACATTAGGATATTAATTTTATGATATATATAAAATTTATCTCTAGCATTAACTTACTGCTTTCCATTAAGTGCTGTCATACTGATTAAAAAGTACTATTCAGTGTGGTAATAAAATGACTATTCCCCCTTTTTAATGTATCCAGTGCATTTACATATACTCATACACGTCCATTAAAGATAAATCTATTATTATTCTGTGATGGAGTAGCGGGTAAACAGTTTACAACTGTGTAAGAGCCATAGTAAAACAGGGTTTCGCTTTGATTTGCAAGTCTTATTCCTCGCATAATTTAATATATTTGAATTTAAATTTAATTATTTTAATAGTCATCAAAATAAAGTATGGAAAGCAACCCAGATAAAGAGGATAATGTACGAGATAACTGTTCGTGTAGACATTTGTTACCAGCTGTAAATCTTATGAAGATATTCGGAATTTCTAGCTTATATCAATGCAAACATGAAAGAGAATTACGTTCATCATTTCTAAATAAACTTTTTCAGATCTTCATATTAGCAACTCTCATTGCATACAATCTGTGCCTCTTTCTGATGTTGCTACTTCCTAAAACTCAATCTCGCTATTTCTGTTCTACTTTATTAGAAAGCCACGGAAAGGATAAATTAACTACTGCTGGTTATGTTATTACATTCCAAAATTATATTATATTTATATACTTTATCTTAATAACGAATAAAAATAAAATCAATTTTGGAAATTTTCCAGACAGAGAATTGTCTGCTCTAAAGAAGTTTCAAATGTTTATAATTAATCTTACTTCTGTAATTTATCTCGCTCTGTGTGTGATGATTTATGTATTACATCTACTTGGACTTTTTCCGAGGTTGTTAAAGATTGTCAGTCATCAAGTAGCTATAAGTTGCCATTTCTTCATTACTTTAAACTGTTTTCTCGTGGATGGTATCACGCTGTTTACTGTAGCTACAATTACTTTAAATGAAATAATAATAAAGAATAAATTTGACCATTTGAAAAATGACGTTCTGAATTTCCATCCTCACTTTGACTATATCGAAGAATTTCTCCAAAAATTTCGTCATAGATATAAAGAATGTTGCATGAGATTGGACGAAATTAACGAAATATTTATTCACGTCGCTTCTGCATCTTATTGTATGGTTATTTTGATATTTTGCCTTACACTTTATAATTTACTGTATTTCTCGCGAAATTCAGGGGATTTATTTGTATTAGTTATTAACATTCTACTTATGTTTTTAATCACCAAGTTGGTCACTGACATCGCAGCTGATCTCTCAGTTTCGGTAAGTACATTGATGATTTATGCTTAGCCTCAACACTTTTATTATTAAAAACGGGGCCGTCGAGAGGGGAGGAGAGATGGAACTTTTTCCTCAAGACTGGAGTATATTTAGGGGAGTGTAACGGTATATTTTTAACTCTTCTCCCTGAGGAATATTTTCATACTAATTGTGGGTTTGACCAGGTCCACAATTTGTATAAAGCGATTAGGTGGTGAAAGACCATTATCTATTCGTTATTTTAGAAAATATTAATTAGTTATTAAAATATCTTTCATTAATTATTTAATATACTACTTTATTTTAATTAATTTAGGCAATTTCTCCCTTGATTGAGCTGAAGAAATTCTGTTTCTATGATATGACAAGACATGATAGATTAAAGGTAATTAGATGATTTTATATTGTTAATATCTAGAATATTGTCTTGAAATATTAATTTAATTTACATGCCATTAATTATTTTCAGTTAATTTGTTCTTTAAAATTATTGGATGGACCATGTCGAGGAATGAAATGTTTGGATTTCGTCTTTACGAAAATTAGTATTCTTCAGGTGAGTTTTCATATAAAATTACCGTTATATTATTAGATTAATTTATTGTCTTGCAGATGATCGAGAGCTTGATTTCGATATTTTCGAGCATCAAGGAGCTGCAAGAAGCGAGAAAACCCAAAGCTTGCGTAACAAAAATCTCTCTTAATGATTATTTCATAGCATCACTTTAAAAACTCGAAGCATTGTTCACGATAATTGATTTTGGTGAATCAAAAATGTATTTATTTATTCAAATATTTGATTGCATTTTATTTCTTTAATGTTTCATTCGGGTGGCTAATGGACGAAGCAGTAAACCTTACAGCCATTCTGAGAGACATGGATATAGAACAATCTGTTCTGGAATCTCAGTATGATTTTTATGATTAGTTTGACTTAGATATGACGCTCTTTCCTTTATATTTTATAGTTCAGTAGTGGCTAAATAGATAAAAACTACTGAATACTGGTAGCTTGTCACGGGTTCACACTTTACCACACTCACATACACTTTTGTAGATTTTCTTTATATGTTTAACACTTAAATAGAGCCGGTTTTCCATAGAAAGTCCTCCCAAGAGGAACTGCTTTGGTACACCGTCTAAGTGTGTGCGTTACTGTATCTCATCAAATCGAACTCATATACTTTGCCGTCCTCATATAACCTTTATTGAATCCATATTTCCATTTTCAATATGGAAATGGAAGATAGCTCTTTTAAAACTTTCAGGCAAAAAGACTTAAAATTGAAAAATCTTATTTTACTTTACAATTATTCTTTTGTGAAATCTGCGGCAATAATGCCAAAGCAAAAATATTTTAGTAACTTTAAACAATAAAATATTTATTACTTTTCACAGATATTTCTATCTACTCACAATTACACTAGTTGTAACCCATTAAAGATGACTAAAAGGAGGAATTAAATCCATAAATTTTAAACGTATTGCTTACATATAATAGTAGATACAATAATATAAAAGAATGCTCTCAATGACAAAGTTTAAAGATATTTCTGAAATTTCGTCTATATTCTATAGTTTTTAGTAAGGATCAGTAATTTGGTGATATTGATAATGTAATGAAATTTCCATAAAGAACCATCAAATTTCCAGTCTTTTCCGTATAATTAGAAGAAAAAGATATGATGAGTTATAGCATTTATCAATTTTTTATTTCATTATGAAAGAAAACATTTACAAGTTATATAAAGCATAAAAAACAAAATACAGTATTTTAATTTTATTAAATGTTGTTCAGCTTTAAATATAAAGTAAGACCCCGCTTAACGCTGCCTCGCTTAACGCTGGTTCGATATAACGCGGTCTGCTCGAAGCCTAAAAAGC